AGATATTGGCTGAAAATGTTGTCCACTTCTGGCCTTGAAGCAAACTACAACTGTCCCCAAGGCTGAGTGTTCAGCCAGTATAGCCTTGTGAGAGATGGACATCTTTGGAGGTATTTTCAGAAGTCCAGAGACTGTGTTTTGTATAGAAAAACTGTGCTCCCTCCACCCTCCAACTTTCAAGTGACTAGCACCCATCATTCTATCATCCTGAGAAAAAATAATTACTTCCTGAGGAGAACATGCTTAGGACTTTATTGCCAAGTAAGTGGGCTTAGGACAAAGGGCAAAGTAGCTTTCAATTAGCTGAAGATCAGTACTAATAGCAGTATAATACTGACCAAAGTGTGTATGTTCATTGAGTAGGCTGAATATGGAAAGGTGAGTTACTGCAGTGAAGGAGAAAGTATTGGTACTCTGGCGAGAGCGAGAGCTGAGGCATGCTTAGGTATGGTGGTGAGAGAAGTGGGGCATTTGGGAGTGGTGGTGAGAGCATGAAGGGAGGACGGTGGTCAGGTACAGTGGTGAGAATGGGGGCTGGTATGGGGGGAGGAGAATGAGGGTCAAAATAGAGTAGGTAAGGGCTAAAACCTTTGTCGGTTTATTTTTTTATCTGTGTCCCTTTGTGGAGGTTTCCCTTTAATCCTTTGCACTCTACCTCTGCACATTTTGCCCCTTCTCATACCCTTCATACTCTTTTCCTGCACACACTGCCTCTGTTATACTCTCCTCACTTTTCTCCTGCACATACTGATCACTAATAACAGTCTGCTGTCATACCCTCCACTGCAAATACTGCTCACTAAAATTCAGGATCAAAGTGAGCACACTAAAAAGGACAAAAGAAGGCTGCTAGCATAAAGGATAAAACCTCACAATCCTCAGAGAACATAAATATAGAGTAAGTATGCAGTGCTCATGTAGTGAACTTATCGTAATATAAGTTAGAAATATCCTCCTGCGCTCAACTATGTGATCACTTAATATGATAAGCAAGCTGCTATCACCTAGCTCCTTATACCTCAGGATAAATTAAGAATACAAAAATTGGTGAAGCACTAAGCAAATATATCAATTATAAATATCAAATTAGTGAATGACAAAATGCCAACCATAAAGTGGCATGTGCTAAATATAAATCTATAATTTTAAAATAGTGACACGTGCGCAACTCAAACATTAATTCAATTCGAAATCGTGAGACTGCCACACCTCAACATATTGATAAAGTGACAATGTGCTCAAAATCTTAGTCCAAAAACAAATATATGGTCTGCCAATAAATGCACGCCAGACAAAGTGACATACAAACCATAAAAAGTATTAAATGTGATAAGTGTTTAGATAATCAGTTTAAAACAATATAATAAGTGCAATAAATAATAGTGATCAGTCCAATCCAACCAGTGTTTCAATAATCCGTGTGCACTTGCTTGTGATCTCAATGACACTCTAGTGAGACTTATCCCTCAGTGGCTAAAATGCCTCCTCACCTCCCAACATCGACCCCACAGGGTCACAGCACTTTGAGTATTCCCACACAAGATGACGTCCCATAAGCTGGCTCCACCGGCTCCACAATTTCAGTAGGGCTCCACTCCTAGTAAAGCTCACTCCAAGATGCCCTTACACACATACGGACTCAGGCATGTAAGGAAGGTAGAATAAAAAAGGACCTCCATAGTGAAATACCGCTTTTAATATAAAAAAACGCCAAAAAAAATGAACACGCACATTAATCCCATAACAATCCAGCAGTTCCCATATGCTATGGGTGTACAGGAAGACCTGGGTGTTCCAAGATGGCGTCCGAAACCGGAAGTGCGTCTCCGCTGCTACCGGAAATGAGTCACCGCGCATGCGCTCTACGCGTTACACCACGATTCAACACGTGGCTTCCTCAGGATATCACATTGGGTGACAGGGACTGGCATTTATAGGCTAGTACAATTAGGGGCGTGAGTAAGGAATAAGTCCACACCGCTGTATAGGCATTTGAGCTACAATAAAATGGAGGCTTAGTTCATGCCCCTAATTGTACTAGCCTATAAATGCCAGTCCCTGTCACCCAATGCGATAGCCTGAGGAAGCCGCGTGTTGATGTCAAGGTCCTACCTTTCCTCAGATCTTGTGCTGCTCCATGTGCTGGCATCCATCTTAGGTGTCTGAAAAGCATTGTGGGATCCTTTATGCTCTCAGCCCTCTGCGGCTCCTCCCCAGGAGGTGACGGCTTATCACATGTAAGTCTGCTGTTTGTGGCTGTCCATTGCATTCGTGTCCTGTCTGTTGCACAACAGCAAGCTCCTGTTTAGCTACTCATTGCTTTCCTGGATACCGACTTGGCTTTGGCTAAGACTCCTCCTGGCTTCTGACCCCAGCTCTGGCGACCATTCTTCCTGGTTCCTGATCCCGGCTCTGGCGACAATTCTTCTTGGCTCCTGATCCCGGCTCTGGCGACGATTCTTCCTGGCTCTTGACCCGGCTTTGGCTACGATTTCCGCTGTTGGACTTGCATAGACTCTTGTCTTATTTTTATATTAATAAACCTACCTTTAATTGCACCTCCTTGTGTGTCTGGCTCCTCGCTCCCTGACACTACACGAATGCCATGAATCCTGACCGTGCAGGTACTCCCCCGCTCCCTATGTTGGTTGCCAGACTTGATCAGCAGGATCTCTTGTTGGCTCGGTTCGCTCAGGCGTTGCAGATGCTGCTTGCACGCACAGCGCACCTTGCTCCTGGTGCTATTAGGCCGGTTTTCACTCCTGTGGTTGCTACCGCTGTTGCTCTGGTTGTTGCGCCTACCTCTGCATCTGCTGCCGCACCTGCGGTGCCCAGAGGTATGACTGGTTCAGCCCCCCTTCCACAGCGCTTTGGGGGTGAACCAAGTCAGTGTCGGGGTTTCCTTAACCAAGTGGGCATATATTTTGAATTGATACCCCATGCTTTTCCTACTGAGAGGTCAAAGGTGGGCTTCCTAATTTCGCTGCTCTTGGACAAGGCCTTGGCCTGGGCAAATCCCTTATGGGAGAACAATAACCCTGTGATTCACGAGTTTGCCGGTTTTGTTGCCTCCTTCCGTACGGTATTTGATGTGCCTGCTCGCTCCGCCTCTGCTGCTAAGCTGCTCATGTCCATGCATCAGGGTTCATGAACCGTTGCCGAGTACGCCATAGAATTTCGTACCTTGGCGGCAGAGGTGGGTTGGAACAATGAGGCTCTGGTGGCTGCTTTCTCTCATGGTCCCTCAGATGCGTTGAAGGACGAGATTGCAGCCAAAGAATTGCCTGTGGAGCTCGAAGCACTCATTTCCTTCCTAATCCTGATTGACACCAGGCTCAGGGAGAGGCCTTCACTTAAGGAGCATCTGTGGAGGCCTCCTAACCGATTGGCGCCTACGTTTTCTGTCCCACCTGTTCCTCCCTCTCCTCCCACACCTCCTGGGGATGGCTTGTCTGGCAGTGAGCCCATGCAGCTGGGGTTTGCTCGCCTTTCCGAGGGGGAGCGGGCCTCTCGGCGTCGGGAGGGTCGCTGCCTGTACTGTGGTCTCGGTGGGCATTTTCGGCAGTCCTGACCGGTCTGTCCGGGAAACGCTCGCACCTGAGATGCTGTCAGGGGCAGATCTTGGGTGGAGTTTCCTCGTCCCCGGTTTCCCGCAAAAAAGATAAACCGCTAATCACGTTGTCCTCTCTTGGGCGGAAGGCTCGGTGACGGCCCAGGCGTTGGTAGACTCTGGTGCTGGTGGGTTGTTTTTGGACAGTTCGTTTGCTGCTCAGTACTCCATTCCTCTGCAGGCTCAAGTTACTCCATTGGTCCTCGAGGCGATAGATGGCAGGCCCCTGCAACCACCGCAGGTTACCCACGAGACCCTGCCGGTGGAAGTAGCTATTGGGGCTGTTCACAGGGAGTTGGCCTGTTTCCAGGTAATTTCTTCCCCGCACTACTCCGTGGTTTTGGGATATCCCTGGCTTCAGAAGCACAATCCGACTGTCAGGGATGCGGGTGTGACCAGAATTGTGTGTGGACTGACACAGGGAAACGCAAGCTTCAGATACGGTATAAATAAGACAAGTTATTAAGACTAACAATACAAACATAAAAGCTGTGCACCAAACCCCAAGCTAACACAAATACATACAACAAGGTGAAACAAACCCAAACCTAAACTGATATAGATACACAGGTACATACACATATAGAGCACAACGTAGTCAGGCAGGCCGGGTCGATAACTATCAAGCAGGTAGGTACAGGAGGAGCAGGCGGAGAGAATGGTCAGGGTTACAAGCCAGGTGTCAGGGATGCGGGTGTGACCAAAAGTGTGTGGACTGACACAGGGAAACGCAAGCTTCAGATATGGTATAAAATAAGACAATTTATTAAAGACTAACAATACAAACATAAATGCTGTGCACCAAACCCCAAGCTAACACAAATACATACAACAAGGTGAAACAAACCCAAACCTAAACTGATACAGATACACAGGTACATACACATATAGAGCACAACGTAGTCAGGCAAGCCGGGTCGATAACTATCGGGCAGGTAGGTACAGGAGGAGCAGGCGGAGAGAATGGTCAGGGTCACAAGCCAGGGATCAAAACAGGAGAAGTCAGCAGAGGTCAGGATCAGGCAGGGTCGGCAACAAGTCAGGCAGAGGCAGAAACAGGAACAGGAATGCAGGTTACAAAGATACAGGGGCCCATTAAAAAACACACAACAAGGCACAGACTGCAGGTCTGGCCATCCCTTAAATACACCTGCAATCAGCCCCAGGTGATGGCTAATTGCCGAAGTGAACCTCTGGTTGTTGAGGAGCACCCGCTGGCCAGCCCTGGTACTGCAGCCCACAAGGCAGGTGAGTCCCACCACTATTGGCAAGTCCATTCCTGACAGTACTCCCCCTCCAGGAGCGGCCTCAGGACGCTCCAAACAGTCCTAGCTGGGCAAAATGTTCCACCGCCCGGGTCCAGTGACTTCGAGCTGGACACCGGACGGAGGCACTTCGAGCTGGACACCGGACGGAGGCACTTCGAGCTGGACACCGGACGGAGGCACTTCGGGCTGGGCACCGGACGGAGGCACGTCGGGCTGGGCACCAGACGGAGGCACATCAGGCTGGACGCCGGATCACTAGGTGGAGCAGCGGGCACCGGGCCACCAGGCGGGGCAGCGGGCACCGGGCCACCAGGCGGAGCAGCGGGCACCGGGCCACCAGGCGGAGCAGCAGGCACCCGGGCCACCAGGCGGAGCAGCAGGCACCGGGCCCCCAGGCAGGGCGGTGGGCACCGGGCCACCAGGCGGAGCAGCGGGCACCCGGCCCCCAAGCAGGATGGCGGGCACCGGGCCACCAGGCGGAGCAGCAGGCACCGGGCCCCCAGGCAGAGCGGCGGGCACCGGGCCCCCAGGCAGGGCAGCAGGCACCGGGCCACCAGGCGGAGCAGCAGGCACCGGGCCATCTGGCTCGACAGCGGGCATCGGGTCACCAGGTACAACAGCGGGCACCGGGTCATCAGACATTGGATCGTCTTGCTCGACCGCGGGCACCAGGTCATCTGGCTCAACAGCGGGCATCGAGTCATCAGGCACGACAGCGGGCATCGGGGTCACCAGGCATGACAGTGGGCACTGGGTCATCAGGCATTGGATCGTCTGGCAAGACTGCGGGCACCGAGTCATCTGGCAAGACCGCGAGCACCGAGTCATCTGGCAAGACCGCGGGGGCACCGAGTCAACTGGCGGAACAGCGGGCATCGAGTCGTCTGGCAAGACTGCGGGCACCGAGTCGTCTGGCAAGACTGCGGGCACCGAGTCATCTGGCAAGACTGCAGGCACCGAGTCATCTGGCAAAACTGCGGGCACCGAGTCGTCTGGCAAGACTGCGGGCACCGAGTCGTCTGGCAAGACTGCGGGCACCGAGTCGTCTGGCGGAACAGCGGGCATCGAGTCGTCTGGCAAGACAGCGGCACCGAGTCATCTGGCAAGACCACGGGCTCTGAGTCAACTGGCAAGACAGTGGGCACCGAGTCATCATGGCGGAACAGCGGGCATCGAGTCATCTGGCATAATAGGATCATCAGGCTGGGTAGAAACATCATGCTGGGTAGAGACATCAGGCTGAATGGAGACATCAGGCTGAATGGAGACATCAGGCTGAATGGAGACATCAGGCTGGGTAAAGACATCAGGCTGAATTGTGGGCGCCGAGGCACCAGGCTGCACCACGGAGGCGGGTTCTCAGATGGGAGGCTGACCGGTTTTTGGATACTGGCAGGATGGTATTGGTTGGAAAGAACTTTCGCCTTTTCCTGGTTTTAGTTACCGGAGCACTGTAAGTAAGAGCAGGTTTGTAAACGGATGGAGCAGCTGGAGACAGAGAAGAGCTGGAGGTTGGAACAGAGGAGGGAGCAGTTGCTACAGAGGACTTCTTTACAGGGTTGAAGAAAGGATAGGTGCAGCGAGTGGGAGCAGGGGACTGGTATGTGGTAGTTAGCAGAGTATACTGGGCCATCACTGGGGGGTGCTGTCGGGGATGCAGAAGAGTGCCTTGAGCAGAGGAATGATGTTGCAAGCCAACTGAGGGTGGGTGTAACAAATCTGTCCATGTCTGCAGTACTGGTTTAACAAAACTCAGCTTACACCTAGCCTGTCTGATCAAAGACTGCACTGCGTTTATGCAATCCATAAGCACATGTGATGGACATGCTGCATAGTGCTCATGGAAACAATCTGGATCATCCTCCAACAACCATACCAGTGATTCCACTTGATCCACACTAAATGGGGGAAAAAAGTCATCCCTGCTTTCAGGGGTACAGGACCGAGCCAACTCAGCACAAACCTTGATCAATGGCTGCACCTCAGAAAACTCTGTGCCCTGATCAACTAGACAATGAGCGATCCTTATACACTCTAGCAGTTGATCCCGGGTATACTCCTTAAGAGTCTGATAAGCATAGTCTTTGTCATCAAACACTAGAAGAGATAAATGCACCACCTCATCAAGATCCATCCTTCCCAGCAACAATAAGCCAAGATGGCCTCCCTGTGCAGCCACTTCTGGTCAGGTTGTGGCCTTGGTGTAATGTCAGGGATGCGGGTGTGACCAGAAGTGTGTGGACTGACACAGGGAAACGCAAGCTTCAGATATGGTATAAATAAGACAATTTATTAAAGACTAACAATACAAACATAAACGCAGTGCACCAAACCCCAAGCTAACACAAATACATACAACAAGGTGAAACAAACCCAAACCTAACTGATACAGGAACATACACATATAGAGCACAACGTAGTCAGGCAAGCCGGGTCGATAACTATCGGGCAGGTAGGTACAGGAGGGGCAGGTGGAGAGAATGGCCAGGGTCACAAGCCAGGGATCAAAACAGGAGAAGTCAGCAGAGGTCAGGATCAGGCAGTGTCTGCAACAAGTCAGGCAGAAACAGGAACAGGAACGCAGGTTACAAGATACAGGGGCCCATGGAAAAACACACACCAAGGCACAGACTGCAGGTCTGGCCATCCCTTAAATACACCTGCAATCAGCCCCAGGTGATGGCTAATTGCTGAAGTGAACCTCTGGTTGTTGAGAGCACACCCGCTGGCCAGCCCTGGTACTGCAGCCCACAAGGCAGGTGAGTCCCACCACTATTGGCAAGTCCATTCCTGACACCGACCTTTAATTGGCGGTCAGCGGAGATTCTCTCGTGGTCTCCACAATGTGGGGCCGGTTGCATCCGTGGACCTGTTAAGGTGTTGTGTGCCTCCTCGAACTCTCTGTTGCCCACTGACTATGGAGAGTACCTGGCTGTGTTTGACAAGGTGCGCGCTGGTGCTCTGCCTCCTCATCGTCCATACGATTGTGCCATAACCTTACAACCCGGTGCCACTCCTCCGCGTGGCAGGGTGTATCCTCTTTCAGTTGCGGAGAATCAGGCCATGGAGGAGTACGTTGTGGGTGCGCTTTCCCAGGGGCACATTCGCAAGTCTACTTCTCCAGCAGGAGCTGGCTTTTTCTTCGTGAAAAAGAAGGGCAGTGAATTGAGGCTTTGCATTGACTTTAGGGGTCTCAATCGAATCACGATTAAGAATGCTTACCCAATTCCGTTGATAACCGAGTTGTTCGACTGCCTCAAGGGAGCAACGGTCTTTACTAAACTCGACCTTAGGGCTGTGTACAACCTCGTACGGATCAAGGAGGGCGATGAGTGGAAGAACGCGTTCAACACCAGAACCGGCCACTATGAATCCCTGGTTATGCCCTTCGGGTTGTGTAACGCGCCCGCGGTCTTTCAGGAGTTCATTAATGATGTCTTTCGTGACTTGTTGTAGCAGTGCGTGGTGGTTTACTTGGACAACATCCTGGTTTACTCTGCGTCCATGGAGTCTCATATCCGGATGTTAAGCGAGTGCTGAAACGATTACGCAAGAACGAGCTTTTCTGTAAGCTCGAGAAGTGTGAATTTCACCGATCTCAGGTTGCCTTTTTGGGCTACATCATTTCAGCTGTGGGATTTTCCATGGACCCTCAGAAGGTTTCGGCGGTTCTGCAGTGGCTTTGTCCGAGTGGTCTTCGGTCCATTCAGAGCTTTTTGGGATTCGCCAACTATTATCGGAAGTTTATCAGGAACTTCTCCACGCTGGCCAAGCCTCTCTCAGATCTGACCAAGAAGGGCAGTAATCCCCACGAGTGGTCATCCGAGGCCATCTTAGCTTTCGAAGCTCTGAAATCCGCCTTCGTTCGGCTCCGATACGGTCTCATCCCAATCCTGGGTTGCCTTTTCTCCTCGAGGTTGATGCATCTGAGACGGGAGTAGGCGCCCTCCTGTCTCAGCGTCGGTCGCCCGATGGACCCCTACTTCCCTGTGGGTTTCTACTCCAGGAAGCTTTCCTCCGCAGAATGCAACTACCAGATTGGAGACAGGGAGTTGTTGGCCATTATTCAGGCTCTCAAGGAATGGAGGCACCTGCTCGAGGGTTCTGCGGTTCTGGTTCTCATTCTCACTGACCATAAGAACCTGACGTATCTCTCGGAAGCTAAGAGGTTGACGCCCCGTCAGGCCAGATGGGCTCTGTTCTTGTCGCATTTTAACTATGTGGTCTTCTATTTGCGTGGCTCCAAGAATGTCAGGGCTGATGCCTTGTCACTGCAATACTCTGAGCTGTCGAGGGAGGACTCTGAGAGCCTACCTCGGTCATACCTCCGGATCAGATCCTGGCTGCCATTCGTACCAGCCTGACTTCTCCCCTTGGGGAGCAGATTTTGGCGGCTCAAACTGATGTTCCCTCTGAGAGACCGGCTGGTAGATGTTTCGTACCTGAGGGATTGCGCATCCCGCTTGCTGCGTACCTACCATAATTCCAAGACCACCAGTCATCCAGGGAGGAACCAGTTGTCCTGGGTCGTTTCTCATTTATTCTGGTGGCCATCTCTCCGTTCCGACATCGCCTCATATGTAGCGGCATGTTCTGTCTGTTCCCAGAATAAATCTCCTCAGCATCTTCCATTGGGCCTTCTCCAACCCATTCCCAATGGGGAGCGTCCCTGGTCACACCTGGGCATGGATTTTATATTGTAGACTTCCCTGCGTCTCGAGGCCATAGGTCATTCTCATGGTCATTGATCGTTTCTTCTCCAAGATGTGCCATTGTGTTCCGTTCAAGAAATTGCCGACTGCGCAAGAACTGGCTACGGTTTTCGCCAGGGAGATCTTTCGCTTGCATGGGTTGCCTAAGGTGATTGTCCCAGACCGTGGGAGCCAGTTTGTGTCCAGGTTTTGGCGCACCTTCTGCTCCTAGTTGGGTATCAAGCTCTCCTTCTCTTCGGCCTACCACCCGCAGTCCAATGGGGCTGCGGAGCGTTCCAACCAGGCCCTGGAACAATCATTTCGCTGCTATATCTCTGACCATCAAGACAATTGGGTCGATCTCCTGCCATGGGCGGAGTTTGCGAGGAACTCGGCTGTCAACTCCACCTCCGGGATGTCTCCCTTCATGACCAACTATGGGTTCCAACCCGCTGTATTGCTGAGTTGTTCTCGCCACAGGACATTCCGGCTGTGGATAACCATCTTGCTGCCCTGCATTCCTCGTGGGGGCAGATCCAGAGGTCCTTGAAGGACTCAGCACAGCGCCAGAAGCTCCAGGCTGATCGTAGATGGTTGCCTGCTCCTTCATATCAGGTTGGAGATCGGGTGTGGTTGTCCACTCGTAACCTCAATCTTCGGGTGCCAGCACCGAAACTGGCTTCCCGTTTTGTTGGTCCTTTCCGCATCCTCCACAGGGTGAACCCGGTTGCCTATGCCCTTGCTCTTCCTCCTCGGATCGGATGCGTATCTCCAATGTCTTCCACGTATCCCTGTTGAAGCCTGTTAGTAATGGACTGGCCAGCAATGTGGGACTCACCTGCCTTTTGATCTGCAGTACCAGGGCTGGCCAGCGGGTGCTCCCAGCAATCAGAGACTCAACCTTTCAGCCAGCTAACACCTGGAACTGATGATGCTGGGGTATTTAAGGGATGGCCAGACCCACAGACTCTGCCTTGGTGTTGTGTTTGTCCTGGGCCCTGTATCTGTCCTGCATCCTGTTTCTGTCCCTCTGCCTGACCCTCTGTACTACGCTGCTTGTTACCTGTTTTGATCTCTGGCCTGTGACCCTGACCATCCCTCTGCCTGACCCTCTGTACTACGCTGCTTGCTACCTGCTGAACTTGGCCTGTGACCCCGACCATTCTCTGCTTGCTCCCCCTGTACCTACCTGCCCAATTGATATTGACCCGGCCTGCCTGACGACGCTTGCTTGTATGTACTGTTATCTGTGGGTGGTTTGGTTTGGTTTGTTTGCACTGTATTATGTTTAGTATTGCACTGCGTTTATGTTTGTATGGTTAGTGTTAATAAATTGTATTGTTTATCACATATCTGAAGTCTGCGTTTCCCCTGCATCAGTCACACACCTCTGGTCAATACCTGGGAGCCCTGACATTACACCAAGGCCAATCCTGACCAGAAGTGGCTGCACAGGGAAGCCATCTTGGCTTGTTGATGGGAAGGATGGATCTTGATGAGGTTGAATATTTATATCTGCTAGTGTTTGATGACAGGGAGTATGCTTATCAAACTCTGAAGGAGTATACCCGGGATGAACTGCTAGAATGTATACGGCTCGCTCATGTTCTAGTAGATCAGGGCACAGAGTTCTCTGAGGTGCAGCCTTTGATTGAGGTTTGTGCTGAGTTGGTTTCATCTGGTTCCCCCGAATGCAGGGATGAATTTTTGCCACCATTTAGTGCAGACCAGGTAGAGTCCCTGGTGTGGTTATTAGAGGATGATGTGGGTTACTTTCTGGAGCGTTATTCCACATGTTCACCACAGACACTAAGAGATTGTATAAACGCAGTGCAGTCATTGACCAGACAGGCTTTGTGTAAGCTCAGCTTTGTTCAACCCATACTGCAGGACATGGACAGATTTGTTGCACCCAGCCTCAGTCAGCTTACAAAGACCCAGTCCTGCTTCTAATCTATTTCCTCAAAACTCTATTCCTGCATTCCCAACAGCTCCTCCTGCCCTGCTATCTACCGCATGTCAGTACCCTGTTCCCACTCGCTGCACCTATCCTGCCTTTAACCCTGTAAAAGAGCCCTCTGTAGCAACTGCTCCCTCTCCTGTTCCATCCTCCAGTTCTTCTCTGTCTCCAGCTGCTCCATTCGTTTGCAGACCTGCGTTTACTTGCAGTGCTCCAGTAGTTAAAACCAGAAAAAAGCGAAAATTCTTTCCAACCAATACCATCCTGCCAGTATCCAAACCGGTGAGCCTGCCTTCCGTGGTTCAGCCTGAAGCCTCTACTCAGCCTGAAGCCTCTACTCAGCCTGAAGCCTCTACTCAGCCTGAAGCCTCTACTCAGCCTGAAGCCTCTACTCAGCCTGATGCGGGTACGCAGCCTGATGCCGGTACGCAGCCTGATGCTCTCTCTTCAGCCTGATGCCTGTATGCAGCCTGATGCCTCTCTTCAGCCTGATGCCTCTCTTCAGCCTGATGCCTCTACTCGGCCTGATGCCTCTACTCGGTCCTGATGCCTCTACTCGGCCTGATGCCTCTACTCGGCCTGAAGCCTCTACTCGGCCTGAAGCCTCTACTCGGCCTGAAGCCTCTACTCAGCCGGACGCCGGCATTCAGCCTGATGCCTCTACCCAGCATGATGAACTGATCCAGCCTGACGATCTATTAGGCCAGTTGACTCGATGCCCGCTGTTGATCCAGATGATCCGGTACCTGATCCGGTTCCCGCTGTCGAGCCAAATGACCTGATGCCTGGTGACCCAGTGCCCGCTGTCATACCTGGTGACTCGATGCCCGCTGTCGAGCCAGACAATCCGGTACCTGATGACCCGGTGCTCACTGTCGTGCCTGTTGACTCGGAGCCCACTGCCTTGCCAGATGACGCGGTGCCCGCTGTCAAGCCAAATGACCTGATGCCTGGTGACCCAGTGCCCGCTGTCCAGCCAGACGATCCAATGTCTGACCCAGTGCCCGCGGTCATACCAGTTGACTCGGAGCCCACTGCCTTGCCAGATGACGCGGTGCCCGCTGTCGAGCCAAATGACCTGATGCCTGGTGACCCGATGCCCGCTGTCCAGCCAGACGATCCAATGTCTGACCCAGTGCCAGCGGTCATCCCAGTTGACTCGGAGCCCACGGTTGTGCCTGGTGACTCGGTGCCCCCGCCGCCCCGCCTGGGGGCCTGAGACCTGTCGTTCCGCCTGGGGGTCCGGCGCCCGCCACGCCACTCCGCCTGAGGGTCCGAGACCTGTCGCTCCGCCTGGGGGTCCGGCGCCCGCCGCTCCGCCTGAGGGCCCGAGACCTGTCGCTCCGCCTGGGGGTCCGGCGCCCCGCCGCTCCGCCTGAGGGCCCGAGACCTGTCGCTCCGCCTGGGGGTCCGGCGCCCGCCGCTCCGCCTGAGGGCCCGAGACCTGTCGCTCGCTCCGCCTGGGGGTCCGGCGCCCGCCGCTCCGCCTGAGGGCCCGAGACCTGTCGCTCCGCCTGGGGGTCCGGCGCCCGCCGCTCCGCCTGAGGGCCCGAGACCTGTCGCTCCGCCTGGGGGTCCGCGCGGCCGCCGCTCCGCCTGAGGGCCCGAGACCTGTCGCTCCGCCTGGGGGTCCGGCGCCCGCCGCTCCGCCTGAGGGCCCGAGACCTGTCGCTCCGCCTGGGGGTCCGGCGCCCGCCGCTCCCGCCTGAGGGCCCGAGACCTGTCGCTCCGCCTGGGGGTCCGGCGCCCGCCGCTCCGCCTGGGGGGTCCGATGCCTGTCGCCCCGCCTAGGGGCCCGATGCCTGTCGCCCCGCCTGGGGGCCCGGTGCCTGTCGCCCCGCCTGGGGGCCGGGTGCCTGTCACCCCGCCTGGGGGCCGGTGCCTGTCGCCCCGCCTGGGGGCCCGGTGCCTGTCGCCCCGCCTGGGGGCCTGAGACCTGTCGTTCCGCCTGGGGGTCCGGCGCCCGCCACTCCGCCTGAGGGTCCGAGACCTGTCGCTCCTCCTGGGGGTCCGGCGCCCGCCGCTCCGCCTGGGGGTCCGATGCCTGTCGCCCCGCCTGGGGGCCCGATGCCTGTCGCCCCGCCTGGGGGCCCGGTGCCTGTCGCCCCGCCTGGGGGCCCGGTGCCTGTCGCCCCGCCTGGGGGCCCGATGCCTGTCGCCCCGCCTGGGGGCCCGGTGCCTGTCGCCCCGCCTGGGGGCCCGGTGCCTGTCGCCCCGCCTGGGGGCCTGAGACCTGTCGTTCCGCCTGGGGGTCCGGCGCCCGCCGCTCCGCCTGAGGGTCCGAGACCTGTCGCTCCTCCTGGGGGTCCGGCGCCCGCCGCTCCGCCTGAGGGCCCGAGACCTGTCGCTCCGCCTGGGGGGTCCGGCGCCCGCCGCTCCGCCTGAGGGCCCGAGACCTGTCGCTCCGCCTGGGGGTCCGGCGCCCGCCGCTCCGCCTGAGGGCCCGAGACCTGTCGCTCCGCCTGGGGGTCCGGCGCCCGCCGCTCCGCCTGAGGGCCCAAGACCTGTCGCTCCGCCTGGGGGTCCGGCGCCCGCCGCTCCGCCTGAGGGCCCGAGACCTGTCGCTCCGCCTGGGGGTCCGGCGCCCCGCCGCTCAGCCTGAGGGCCCGAGAGACCTGTCGCTCCGCCTGGGGGTCCGGCGCCCGCGCCGCTCCGCCTGGGGGTCCGATGCCTGTCGCCCCGCCTGGGGGCCCGGTGCCTGTCGCCCCGCCTGGGGGCCCGGTGCCTGTCGCCCCGCCTGGGGGCCCGGTGCCTGTCGCCCCGCCTGGGGGCCCGGTGCCTGTCCCCCGCCTGGGGGCCCGATGCCGGTCGCCCCTCCTGGGGGCCCGGCGCCTGCTGCTCCGCCCGGGGGCCCGGCGCCTGCTGCTCCGCACGGGGGCCCGGCGCCTGCTGCTCCGCCTGGTGGCCCGCTGCCTGCTGCTGCTTCGCCTGGTAAACCGATGTGCCTCTGCCCGGAGTCCTGCCCGATGTGCCTCTGCCCGGAGTCCTGCCCGATGTGCCTCTGCCCGGAGTCCTGCCCGATGTGCCTCTGCCCGGAGTCCTGCCCGATGTGCCTCTGCCTGATGTGCCTCTGCCCGGTGTGCCTCTGCTCGATGTGCCTCTGCCCGGAGTCCTGCCCGATGTGCCTCTGCCCGATGTGCCTCTGCCCGATGTGCCTCTGCCTGATGTGCCTCTGCCCGGTGTGCCTCTGCTCGATGTGCCTCTGCCCGGAGTCCAGCCCGGTGTGCCTCTGCCCGGAGTCCAGCCCGGTGTGCCGCTGCCCGGAGTCCTGCCCGGTGTGCCAGTCTTTGATATCCCGCCAGTTACCAGACCCGGGCGGTGGAACATTTTGCCCAGCTAGGACTGTTTGGAGCGTCCTGAGGCCGCTCCTTGGGGGGGGGGGGGTACTGTTAGGAATGGACTGGCCAGCAATGGTGGGACTCACCTGCCTTTTGATCTGCAGTACCAGGGCTGGTCAGCGGGTGCTCCCAGCAATCAGAGACTCAACCTTTCAGCCAGCTAACACCTGGAACTGATGATGCTGGGGTATTTAAGGGATGGCCAGACCCACAGACTCTGCCTTGGTGTTGTGTTTGTCCTGGGCCCTGTATCTGTCCTGCATCCTGTTTCTGTCCCTCTGCCTGACCCTCTGTACTACGCTGCTTGTTACCTGTTTTGATCTCTGGCTTGTGACCCTGACCATCCCTCTGCCTGACCCTCTGTACTACGCTGCTTGCTACCTGCTGAACCTGGCCTGTGACCCCGACCATTCTCTGCTTGCTCCCCCTCTACCTACCTGCCCAATTGATATTGACCCGGCCTGCCTGACGACGCTTGCTTGTATGTACTGTTATCTGTGGGTGGTTTGGTTTGGTTTGTTTGCACTGTATTATGTTTAGTATTGCACTGCGTTTATGTTTGTATGGTTAGTGTTAATAAATTGTATTGTTTATCACATATCTGAAGTCTGCGTTTCCCTGCATCAGTCACACACCTCTGGTCATACCTGGGAGCCCTGACAAAGCCTCTGGTCTGTAATCGCTTTACTGCCTCTCTGCCGCGGCCTCGTCCTATCCGGGTCGACGGTCATGAGGAGTATGAGGTGAGCCGCATCCTGGACTCTCGTTTGGTCCGCAGTCGGGTGCAGTTCCTGGTCCATTGGCGTGGTTATGGTCTCGAGGAGCGTTCCTGGGTTCCTTCTGCAGATGTTCATGCTCCTGCCCTCCTCCACGCCCGCTTTCCACAGAAGCCTTATGTTGAGCCGCGGAGGGGGAGGGGCCCTTGAGGAGGAGGTACTGTCAAGGTCCTACCTTTCCTCAGACCTTGTGCTGCTCCATGTGCTGGCATCCATCTTAGGTGTCTGCAAAGCATTGTGGGATCCTTTATGCTTTCAGCCCTCTGCGGCTCCTCCCTCAGGAGGTGGCGGCTTATCACATATAAGTCTGCTGTTTGTGGCTGTCCATTGCATTCGTCGTCCTGTCTGTTGCACAACAGAAAGCTCCTGTTTAGCTACTCATTGCTTTTCTGGATACCGACTCGGCTTTGGCTAAGACTCCTCCTGGCTTCTGACCCCGGCTCTGGTGACCATTCTTCCTGGCTCCTAATCCCGGCTCTGGCGACGATTCTTCCTGGCTCCTGATGCCGGCACTGGCGACGATTCTTCCTGGCTCTTGACCCCGGCTTTGGCTACGATTTCCGCTGTTGGACTTGCATAGACTCTTGTCTTATTTTTATATTAATAGACCTACCTTTAATTGCACCTCCTTGTGTGTCTGGCTCCTTGCTCCCTGACAGTTGAATCATGGTGTAACACGTAGAGCGCACGCGCGGTGACGCATTTCCGGTAGCAGCGGAGACGCACTTCCGGTTTATGCCTTCCTTACATGCCTGAGTGCATATGTGTGTAAGGGCATCTTGGAGTGAGCTATACTAGGAGTGGAGCCCTATTGAAATTGTGGAGCCGGTGGAGCCAGCTTACGGGACATCATCTTGTGTGGGAATACTCAAAGTGCTGTGACCCTGTGAGGTCGATGTTGGGAGGTGAGGAGGCATTTTAGCCACTGAGGGATAAGTGTCACTAGAGTGTCACTGAGATCACAAGCAAGTGATTATTGAAACACTGTTGGATTGGACTGATCACTATTATTTTTTGCACTTATTATATTGTTTTAAACTGATTATCTAAACACTTATCACATTTAATAATTTTTGTGGTTTGTATGTCACCTTGTCTGGTGTGCATTTATTGGCAGACCATATATTTGTTTTTGCACTAAGATTTTGAGCACATTGTCACTTTATCAATATGTTGAGGTGTGGCAGTCTCACGATTTTGAATTGAATTAATGTTTGAGTTGAGCACGTGTCACTATTTTAAAATTATAGATTTATATTTAGCACATGCCACTTTTATGGTTGTAGTTTTGTCATTCACTAATTTGATATTTATAATTGATATATTTGCTTAGTGCTTCACCTATATCGTAATATAAGAACTGTTAATAATAGAAAAATATAAAATAAATAGATAAAAAACAAATAATGACTGGATGAGCATAACAATACACAAGGTGAATAGAAATTATTCAAAGTCACTGCTTAT